TGTCTGGCCTTCTGCTCCATGAAGGCTGCTAGGCCTGAACAAGAAAGGCTCAAGGCAGGAAGGGGAAAAAAAAAAAAAAAAAAAAAAAGAAAAAAAGGGAGAAGCAGGAGAGAAAGTGTAACTGTGAGAACAAGCAAGCAAGTTGGGGGAGAGCAAGGGTCTGCCTAATGTCACTCAACAGATTAATGGCAGAGTAAAGAAGAAAAGAGATTTCCTGACCGCCCGTCCTATAGGCAGCACTGGACTGCTGTCACCCCACTGACACATGTTCAGTATCACTGTTTGTCCAAGAGCTTTTGAATCTTGTGGACTAAATTTTACCAGTCCTTTAAGGATTTTTAAAACAAAAACCAAAACCGAAACCTGAGAAGGTTGAGAAGAATTCCACCTTCACTAGCACAAGTAGAACTGAAATGTGCCAACTACTCTGTGAGCGTAAAGCAGTTGGAGAGGAATTGGCAGATAGTAAAAGTGTCCAGCCACCCACTGCTGGAAGGTCTCCAAAAAAACCTTCTATCTGGGACATAAATTAGGGTTGGACTTTAGACATGCCTTTCCCTGAGTCTTTTGCAGTCTAGCATTGAGAATTAGTATGTTTGTCTATAAGCATGAGGAGGCTGAGATTAGAAGCCCAAAAAGGAGGCCAATGACTATCACTGTCCGGTGGCCCTAGATGTGTTTTCAGAATTCATTCGCAAGATGACTCCCAGGCATCCCGCTACATCTCCTTTGGAGTTAGTTCAATTAAAACTCCTGGTCTGCCTATGTTTTTGACATTTTAAACATCCCTGAAAGGTATTTGATATGGATAAAGCTCTAGGGAAGGAATTTCAGTGCTAAAAAGGTAAACTATTTTGTAGACTAGAAGTGAATGGGCCTGAGAAAAGCAGAAAAACTGTAAAAATCCTTGGAATAAGGAAGACAATAAAAGCCAGGTAAATGATGCTGAAGAAAAACCAAAACACAGAAGCACACCAAGCAAACACTATGAGTACGATTTATGTACTTGGATTGGAAAAGCAGAACAAGACATTTGAGTCTTGAGAACTGTATAATCAATCTGCTTTCCATTTTTACTTACTTCCAGTTCTTAGATGGTATATCATCCTTACCTGGATGGTTTGGAGTAAAGCATGCTTCCGTATTTATACACGAGTACATTTTTCTCACCAGGAAGAGGCAATAGCGTACACCAGACTGTCTGCAGAGTGATTTTTATATATATACACATATATATTACACACACATATACACACACATATTTTGGTAGTGAATCCCAAAACAAAGTTTCTACACAGGTGCTGTAGCAGGCAAATAATGCCTTTAATTTCCTGGGATTCAGAGGAAGCTAGTATTAAACAAACATTTTATTATTACTATAGCAAAATAATGCTAAGTGACATTAATGATTAAAAGTATAAGAGCAATCACATGCCTATCATCTGGTCTGCAAGGTAGAGAACACCTATAAGTTATAGGAAAAATGATAGGCTTTAAGGCCAGGACCCATTATATCATCTAATCTGACTCCAGCTGCACAAAGAAATCATTTTTCCATTGTGCAGAACCCAACAATTTGAATGTTATTATGGGTATGGACCAACAGGACAGATCTTTCTGAGAGAAGCTTGCTAGTATGTGGAAAGTGTACATTCTTATGCATATACAATGTAATAAACACAAGATAACCTGAAATAAGAATATTTGCCACTGAAATTGTTAAAAAAAACTACCTTTTTTTTTTAAGGCCTGACTGACATTTCTTACTATAAAAATCTCTATTAAGCCAAATAACTCCTTTACTGCCTTCTGCAAGAAATAAGCACTTCAAACTCTGTGCCTTTTTTCCAAGTTATAAAACATGCATTTGTGCAAGGTAAGTTTTCACGACTTGTTATTCTTTATTTTTAAAAATAGGCTTATTAATTCAGTTCTGCTTTGAAAGACAAAGGCTTGTTCCCTAAACCACTTCATTGCATAACGGTAGGATCTACGAGTGAATAGGCAAATAATTGATGTGTATGGCACACATATGGAGATCACACTAATTGTAAACCAATGTTTCAGTTTTAAATAAGCTAGCCATTTAATTTACTTCAAGTTATTAACACAATCCATTATTGTAAAACATGTCTTCCATCATTTTTCTGTAAGTGGAATTTAGACTCTTTCATTCCTATATGGCAGGAAGGAAAAAGAATTCACGAGCAGATAAATTTTTATTGAAAATAGATTTTTAGCATCTAGCCAGCGCAGCATTATGGTAATCATGTTCAGTTTATGCATTACAGAACTACTTATGTGTAAAGAACTACTTTTGTGACACACATTTTTATCAGCAGACTTAAGGGACTTAACATTTTCATGGATTTTCATCATTTCCATTACTTCATGGATTCCCATAGCTTATTTTCATCTCAAATATAAACATTTTTCCATGTTGAAAAAAAAAAAAAAAAATCTTTATTCAAGTAATTTTAATGGGACCATTACCTTAAGAAGTTACTACGACACAAGAGAAATTCTGAAGGACTGTCCCCCCTGCATTTTGCTACATATTCCAAAGGTTTTTTTCCTTAAAATTGCTTTAAATTGACATGTGTAATTTTTGGTGTGATATTTTGCATTAATTCTATGTTCTGCCAGGTTTTATTTTTCTTTGCTGTTCCTTTTTCACTTGTTTCATATCCAGATATAAATTAACAAAAAGAGGGACTTGGACACTTCCTCTTTTCTCTCTCTCTTTTTTTTTTTTTTTTTTCTTTTTTTTTTTTTTAAGAGAACTTATAGAACTAGAATAAAATAGATTTGTTACGGTTATAATATTATTACATAATTTCTGAAAAAATAAAAATCTTAACCATCAATTAATAGGTGTTAACCCCACCTTAAACTTAGCTCTTGTAAAGTTTTATCACACGGCATACTTTAGCATCACTGAAACTATAGAGATTTTAAGTCCTATATAGGTTACTGGAGAAAGCTAATAGAGAAAGTAATGGGTAGACTAAGCCAACTTAAAACAATGAAACTTTCAATCTCAATTCAACTGGAGCACGTTGGGTTATAAACAATGGCATATATCTGGTTGTGTCATGCTGTATAAAGAACATAAAACATAGGAGGAACTACCTCAGCGGCATCAAATAGGGTGCCAAATATCAACAAAATTAAAAGTCAGCTATGCATTTCAAATGTGTTTTCTCACAAGCGTTCAAAGGATTTCAAAGAACGGCTAATAAATCTACTTATGTACACAATAAGAACATGTAGAATGAAGAGTAAAAACTTACTGTGATCCAGTGAAGCGTTCCAAAATGAGATTCAAACTAACCAAAACCAAAAGACAACTGACTTTTAAAACCTAGGAATATGGGCTTGCTCCCACTGAAGTTTATGGCAAGTTTCCATTAATATCAGTGTTGTAGGAATGATTTCTAATGCTGCAGTTTAATGTCTAATCTATATTACTGGTTTTTTTTGGAACAATTCAGCTTGGAATGTGGTAGCGTGATATGAAAAGGGTGTTTTGTTTGCAAACTTGGAATGAAATCTGACTTGGACTAGATTGCACAATAAGAAAAGCCAGCAAAAGGGAATTTGACACTCACCATTCTGGCAGAAAAACTTAGTTTATCAAAACTAGAAGATTAAAAATACTTTGATATTGTTATTTGAAATTAAAATCAAAAGGAAGAAAACATAAGTGTTAAACTGTGCCAGATTACCGGGATCTTTGGTTAACGAACATTACCTTCTTCAAAATTGTTAGAAGCTAGTAATAAAGCTAATACCTAAAAATACTGCAGAATTAAAAAAAAGTCTCACTGGCTATGAAACAGAAAAGCTATTAATCCTTTATACTAGCATGTTAAATCTCTAACTATCTGTGACAAATCCTGTATTTCTTCTTCCTTCTGAGCTATTACTGAATTAATTGGTAGTTCTCAATCCCTATTCAGCACAGAACTTAAACATGTTCTCAACCTTATACACATGAGGAAACCTAAATCCTTATCTAAATTTGACTTCGTTGTAAGCTAACCGTAAGTTTATGACTGCGCAAGTACTCTGGTGTTTTGTTGAACTAGGAACTTGACTTCTACAGACGGGAAGGAGTCCCTCTGACTTCTTTTGTTCTCACAACTGCTAAATCCTCAGTTTTATCAGGTCACAGTTGTATGCCTTTAGCAAAATAGGAATAACAGTTATTTGAGAGCAAGAGCTATCATTTTGTCAAGTCATTACTCAAGGATAATACACGTGGAGAGGAAAATGGAAAGAAGCATAGCATGAATCAGATTCTTAACCTACTACTACAGAATAATTAGCATATTTTCATTATTAGTACCATAAGCATATATAGAGAAGATTAAGAGGATCAAAATTAAGTTTGGATAGTGTATTTGTGCTAAATTCAGCCAGATACCAATGCTAGCAAATATTTATATTAAAAATTAACTTTGTGCTCTGGGAGATAATACACTACATACGAAGTCTGAAATACAACACTGGGTTTGGAAATATCTGTTAATCAAATGAAGTACTATGGACATTAACGTTTTGCTCACCCTAATTTAGCAATATGTTTTAGTCATGACTTGGCAATTCAATGATCATAAAGTCTTTGATCTGTTTCCTGACCTGTCAAATACTATCAGTCAAAGCAAAGTGGGAGAATGGCCGTTTCAATGAAGTGGATGTTCTTTCAGACCAAACCGAGAGGAAGTCATCATCTCTGTTTGTGAAGACTTTTGGCTGCCATTGATCAAAGACAGACCAAATTCAATGACCTAAAGTTAGAAGGATCTACCACATGCTAATAATTCCTTGGGTCAGTTAAGCCACTGTAGTTTATTTATTCCCCAACAGCATCATAAAAATGAGTCAGTGCTGGTTAGTAAGAAAATATTTTCTCCTGTTAATCAGTGATATCATCTGCAAAGGGGAAGGTAGCAGATATTAGCAATTCACTACAAAATAAAAAATAAAACCTTTACCCTAATAAAGAGGATCTTCTCTCCAACTCTGTATCTTCCTTGTGAAAGACGCTCCACACAGAACTTATTAGGGCATTTACAAGGTGGATCTTCAGAAATGTGTTTAACCTGAAAAACACGGAAGCTATTAACAGAAACTGTTTGAAACAGCACATGTAGCAAAACATTCAAGAAGACATTTGCCATAAGACGATATCTCTAATCTAAGCCTTCACTGATGATATTTTCTTAGTTTTTCTTAATTTTCTTAGTATTTCTGTAATCCCAGACTATAGCGCTTCCATTATCAAGAATGATTTTACAGCTGTGATGAGGTAAAAATAGAGATGAGTGTCACACAGTTCAACATAAAATTTGCACTGTTTAACTGAAGTCAAACAGTTTGTTAATTTGAGTTCAGCATCAAACTTTTGTAGATGTGTTATCAGTATTTTATGGTGAATCAGCTCAACTGTCGAAGTGCTAATACAGCTGACAGGCAAAATGAAGATGTCATAATGATGTATTTTTCCCTTCTAAATAAATATAATAAATACAGAAGCATCTTGCTTATGAATAAAAGGCCCTGCCCAATACCTTCACTTGGCACTTTCAAGTAGTGCACTTACACCTTAAAAAAAGTATACAGAGAATACTGTGACATAATCACAAATCCATGCCAAGATGCTCCCCAGTATTGCTAACTACACTTTGATGATCTCCACCTTAGGGCATTAGTGCAATCAAGCGTAATTTAAAGGGGCCTCAAGAGTACTCTACTTTATCATTGCCAACAATAAGGGCTGAGAAAATACAGATGAAAACTACTTTCCTGCTTTTTATCAGCTGCATCAGCTTGACTTCAGCCTCTTGTGAAAAGTTGGCTTTGCATGTGCTACCAAAGTCATTAATGTTTAGTAAAAGTATATTTTGTACTCTTCAGTGATCTTAAAAGTAGCACAGCCATCAAGGCCAAAAGAGCAGATCTGGTTGAGAAACTGTTATTTGACATTCAAATCGCACTACTGCGTCGGAACAGCAATAACAAGTGCAGCATTTTCATATACATCCAAGTTTCCTTGGATGAATGCTGACCTAGTATGTCAGTATCAAACAATGCAAAATGCCAGAGGAACTTCCTAGAGGTTTTGTCCACTTCAAATAATATTCCAAAGACCTTTTCAAATCCAGTTTCCAAACCAAGGCCTGTAAAAACAGCCTGAGGTCTGGGAAAGAATATTCTCAAAATAGGTAACAAATTAAAGTCTTAAGCTGTTTCAGGGAAAAAAAAAAAATCAGGGCAAAACTATGGCACTCTGATAGGTATTTTGGTTATCTTCAAACAGGAAAGGCTTCTGAAGTACAACAAATGTCTTTCAGATCTGCTTTTAGAATAAAGTTATAATATGTTAAATAAACCGGAAAGAAATTAAAAGTTAACCAGTTATTGTTTCCGTACTAGAATGGAGAGCAAAACTGCTTTTGAAGCTAGCCCTGTTGTCCGATTTAAAGGCTTTCCAATTATTTTTGAAATTGTTCAATGTTGCTATCTGAGTAACTTCATTACTTTGTGGAACAATTTTTTTATAATTATTCTTAGTTTTTTTTTTAATCAGGGCATGATATTTTTGTGAAAAAAATTCATTTTAAAATAACACTTAGCAGAGGAACTCTACACATATTTTACACACAAAAAAGTATTTCTCAAGTATCAGATGATCTGTCCTCAGTTTGAATGTACAATCACTGAATTATTTTAAGATTAATTATTCCAGTGATTATCAACAAAAGGGTGAGTATTAGCCTCCATTTCTGGAGAATCAAACTATTTAGATACTCAGTGTACAACAGGAATAACTTATATGAAGTCAGTGGTCGATGACTTAAATCCAAGTGCAGGGTGCTGAGGATGCAAAAGGTGCATTCCTTTATCTCTTGGAACGTGGTACCAAGACTGGGGTTGTGCTTAGAGGACTATTTGGTAATGGCCCTCTGAATGCCGCCCGATAATCAAGGATTTCTGACATAATATCCTATGGCAGTTATCACCTCTGGAGACGCTCTTGAAATTTGAAGCTGAAAATGGATAGTGCGAACTATGCTGCATCTACCAGGGTTCATCTAAGCAAGCAAAAACCCAGAGTAGCCGGACCTAACAGGTTCAAGGTTATTTTGAACTGTGTAAGCAAAATAGAGCCATCTTAGGCCTGCGGAGAACAAAAGCCAACAGATTTATACTGGTGTAAAACAGAGGATAATGAGACCTTCACTGCTGATCCTGCTGTTGAGGCTGCCATTACCTTACTATCCCGAAGGACATAAAAGTATTATTGAGTGGAATTTGGAAATCAAATTAGGAAGCAGAAGGAAGAATTATATCCTATTTTATTTTGTGTCTGGACTATATGAGCACTGCTGCTATTTTATGGTGTGAGCGTCTGGGGCAGTGCAGGTCAGGAATCTAGCTGGATGAATTCCATCCTGTTTCTATCCCTACTGCTTTCTAAATTAAAGAAGGTGGTTGGAGACAACCTTCATACTCTCTGTTCTGTTCCTACAAGATATGCAGTCACCACCCTCCTTCTACACATAACTGTTCTTTCTCAATTCTGTTGAAACATAAGTGAGTGCTTTTGCAAAGTTAAGGAAGAAATACAAAATGTAAAAAAACGTTAAATGTAATTATTTGCATCAAATAGTATGAAGTATTTCAATAAAATGAACAAACATTATATTCCATCTGCTCTTTGTAACAAAAAAGTGGCACACAGATTTTTCAAGAAGTGCTTTGTAACTCCCAGGTGGCACATCTACCTTGTAATATAGCAGTTACTATAGTAACTGCTTCTTTTTATAGAATATATTTGTACTTTTCAAGTTTAACCTCTTCATGGTCTCAAAATGTGTCCTTTTCATCTGATTCCAGCTGTTTCAAATGAACCCCTCTAGGATTTGCAACAGAGAAATAGCACTACAGTATAGTGCAAAGAGTTTAACGAAATTCAAAGCAAGATACTTTTTTTCTAACAATGATAAACCACATGATAAACATGCAGAACAGCAGCATAAAAATTAGGCTGAGATAACTTAGAAGTGTTTGTTAACAATCTGTACAAGTCAATATGGGCCAAATCTCCTAGTCCTGACTCAGTCCTTTCTCAGACAAAACGCCAAGTGGGAGTTGATGAATAAGAAGTGAACAGAAAAAGAAAACAGAGTAATAAGATGGGAACTTGGCCCTAAACACAAAGCTAGGCTAAACTGCAGATCTCCTACACAGTGCGACATTTTTTCCAAACTTCAGGCATAAATAATTGTGGTCAAAAATAAATTAACTCTATCAGTCTGCAAATCTTTAAAATACAGTGAGATGTTAAACTCGGGCTTCTGTATGCTTTGCAAGTTAAGTGCATACCAGAACGGGTCAGATAAGAAGAAGCTTCCTCCCACAACTTACAGCATCATCCAACAGTTTCCCTGTGCTCTTTTTCCCAGGAGACTTTGTTGGTGACGGTGAAGGAGATGGAAGGGGGGCTGAAAGTGTTTCCTCTTGTTCAATCTCTTTTTCCAACTTTATTAATCCAGGAGGCTCCACCCCAAACCTTTTGGAAACATGCAAACAAATTACTAGTCCTTATAAAGTATTTTAAAACAAATCAGTGGAAAGAATTTATACTTTCTGTATTGCACTACTGTGCAATAATAGAATGCTACATACATTAGTAAACACATAAAAAAATATATCAACCATTAATGCCATCATTCCAAATTAATACAAAAAAAAATTTAGATGGAATCTCTCAGTTGAACAATTTACAGGAAATACAGGTTTTTTTCAACTTCTCTATCTCATAACATACATGTTGGCGAATGATTAATTTATGAACAACACTAGGCCTCAAAAATTGCTATACCATGCAGGGCAGATTCAAGTTCAGTACATTAGCTTCCCCGCCCCCCCCCCCAAACAACATCCTAGCAAATTACTTGACAACTTGTATTTTGTGTTAATATTTTCCAAAGAAATGCAGATGAAAAGGGATTAAAGGTTATCCCCACCTCAACTATTGCACTGAATTTATAGATAAATTTGAGACATGGCCAATATTTTTCTGAAGTGGCTAATGCTTTTTCTAACCTATTTTTGACAGCCAATCTTCAGCTCTCTGTTTACAGTGGCAAAACAGTTGTAGCTCCAACTAAAACAAAATACTTGCAACTTTGGCATGGAGCATCTCAAACATAGCACTTGGAGAGCGAGGCTCTTTAAAACAATGCCTGCTTTTGAAAGCTTTATGGCAAGTGATTAAGTCAGTATCTCACAGCAAGCAGCAGAGCTTGGACAGATGTCAGAAGTCTAAAAGCCCATCCTATTTTCCTGATCACTAATAATTCCCCTCTGTTTTTTTTAATCGCCAACACTGAACAAAACCCAGAAAAATAGGAAGATTTCCTTTTTCAGAGAAGGACTTCAGCTTGAAAAAGTTATCATGCCAGGTAGGCTTCTCATAGCAAACTACTTGCATAAATGAAACCATATTTTCTTCTGTAGTACAAAAGTCCATAGCCCAGATGCAGAGCTATGCTGACTTATCTAGGTAAGGATCTGGATGGTAAAATATTGAGCAGTAAGAAACATATTATGAAAATCTAAGCTAAATACCATAATAATATTAAAAGTGTACAGAGAAAGGGCATAAGCGCATATACTGTCTTCTGTATTTTTATGGTATCTTTTAACTTAGTCACACTACTGCCTAGTAAATTAATATAAAGAAAACCAAGAACCAAATCTGTGCTTGTATTGGCTTCTAACTGGTGCAGTTTGCCTAATGAGAAGCCAGCCAACATTGAAGCAAGCACTTATATACAATCCATTTACTTCCTGTCTGTCTGCAGATGCCGACAGGCTGTAAATCATTAAATTCCCACTGGGCTCTAAGCCTACACCTGCATGCAGCCTTACTCATCAAATAAAACTCTTCCACTCTAAGCAATGCTGCTTCTTTGCTTCTACCGCTTTTCATAATCTCCAATTTTTGTCATTGTGACAGACTTTTAAAGTTCCCTGTATTTCTAGTGTTCTGAATTCCTCTGGTGGTAAGTTGAAAAAACAAAACAAAAATGAAGAAACAAACAGACACACATTTTTTTCCACATACTGTATCAACCTGAAGCAAAGTTGCTGGAAAGCTGAAATGGTAAAACCCACATTTTTTCTGGGAGGGGTAGAGGTGCAAATTCTGGTCTGGAAGGTATGCTGAGAATTTCCTTTTCTGCTCTTTTCTAGCCTGCCTTCTCATAACTACAAATGAAGCAGCATTGGACTGTAACGTGATCTCCAATAGACTTCTTAGAGCACCACTTCCCATTTTTACCAAGGAAAATTGAATACAATACCAGAAAGATTTTGAAATTGCTCAACAGTAATTTCAAAAGACCTGTGGTGGTTATTTAACCCCCCAGAGTTTAATAGTTAGCCAAGAACTTCATTCTTTCTGCAGAAAAGATAATTTAGCTGTTTTCCATCGTATAAACTCTCTTTAAACACACAGACAGCACATATACATCTATTTGCAAATAATTACATTCTCCATGAAGTCTTGATTGCAAAGATTACTCAGATTATGCAGAGATAGATTCTGCTTTCACATCACTTGAGCTTAAATGATTCACTCATGACTTTAAAATACTTCAGGAGACTGTTGGACCTGTGCAACCCACTGCAATAGCCTTGTGTATTGTCAACGCTGAGTTTCATCTGGTAGGACACTTCCCTCTCTCATAGATGTTCTCATTTTACCCATATGATATCTGCCGGTGCACACAATGGCCCATTTTAGCTACTGAAATTTCACAAATTACCTCAGAATTTTCTTTTCAATAAACTACTGAAATCCAGGATAGTTTATCAGACTACTCTATTTTTATTAGTACCTGGGCTTTGAACTGCCACTCTTTGAGCCAAGTGGTCACACCAGTTTTCCACTCACTATGTAGTCCATCCATCCAGTCCATCTCTCTCTAATTTGGCTAAAAGAACACTATGAGAGAATACGCTAAAAGCATTGCTAAAGCATAGGTAAATTATCAGCTCTCTCCCCTCATCCACAGAGTAATCTGTTGCATGGGTTCAAGTTTAGCAGAACAGAGCCCAGTTCTGTCTCCTCCTCAAACAATCCGCATTCCTCACTATGTAGTCCATCCATCCAGTCCATCTCTCTCTAATTTGGCTAAAAGAACACTATGAGAGAATACGCTAAAAGCATTGCTAAAGCATAGGTAAATTATCAGCTCTCTCCCCTCATCCACAGAGTAATCTGTTGCATGGGTTCAAGTTTAGCAGAACAGAGCCCAGTTCTGTCTCCTCCTCAAACAATCCGCATTCCTAGCCTAGGTTGACCTATGGGAGTGTAGACCCTGAAGACTAACAGTAATCTAGTTGGGCAAAGTGTGCTAAGAGCTGGCTCCTTGTGATGAATAAGCCACTTTGAACATATCTTTCTGCTTCTAAAACAGAAAAGGAAGAGAAAAGTAAGAAGTTATTCAGTGTCTCTTACTCTTCTCATTCGTTAAAAACATACTGAGGCACCTTTTCAAAGATCTCTGCAGCTCCTGTTCTGGAAAGCAGATCCCTACAACTGTCAACAGACCCAGTTTGCTTTACAAAGCAAGCATACATCTGACTTCTCTCCTGCTTAAAACAGCACAACAACGACGTCAGTTTAATGTGCTCTTTCCTACGCTTAGTGGAGGCAACTATTCTCCTTTTCCATACAGTTCTAGTTTACCACAGCTCAGGCAAAACTGGCATCACATATTTGCTTTTCAATTTTATTAACCTGATGTTCCCCTTCAACAGTTTTGTGCACTTTGGAATCTTACAAGATTATAAATGGGGTTTTGGTTGTTTTTGAAGAGATATTAGAGCAGGAACAAGCAGACAGACGTATGTTATTTGACCCCTAAACTATAAACAAAAACAAAATACAGTAACATAAATATAATATATAAAATACATTAATGATATACGGTAATATACATGTATTATAAATAAAAAATAAAATAAAAATATTTTA